AATATTCAGTGGAGACACACACGTACTCTGACAACAAAATGCAGGGCTGATATCAAGCCGTGCAACATCTGCTAAATTCACATGGGGAAAAGGAATATGAAAACAAATACACAAGGGCACAGCTACTGAGATGGTAAATATTGTTTTTTCCATGCCACACCCAAACCAAAAATAGAGACAGAGGGGCCCTTAACAAAGCTTTATCCAGGTTCCTGACAGCTGACTGCTTGTTTTCCACTGAGTTATAAGTGAAGAAGACTGCCAGTTTACTTCAAAAGCATGAATTAACCTAAGACTTATGCTTTTACTATGAGTAGATCAGAAGTAGAGGAGAAGAATAGCTCCATGGAAATTTGTAGTGTTAAGATCACATAAATGCAGTTGCTATTAAGTTTGCTCACCATAGAGGAGTAAGAGTGAATAACACTTCTTTTTGAGGAAATAAACTGCCTGTAATGTGGTGGAGCAGCATGGATTCACAGCTGGGCAAGAGGAGCAGCAGGCAAGGGAGCCCAGGCTGGCTGTGGGCTGCAGCCCCAGGACTGGGAGGTGCCTTGGCATGATGGACCTGGGTTTTGGTGGGGTGTCCTTCTGCACAGCTGGGCTGTAGGAGGGAGCACACAGCCCAGAAGAGAGAGGAGGAACTTGCTGGGTGAGTGTGTCGGGGCATAGGTAGTTTTTCTGCATCCTAGGCTGTTGCACAAAGCTCAGGTGCTTGATAAGGTAGATAAAGCTGGGCACTCCCAAATCTACTGCTGATAAAACAGTGTTTCAAAGTGGCTGTGGGATGAAGGGGGAAGTGAGTGTAAGAAATACGTTCCAGTCAATAAATACAGTCATTGCAATAAATTCAGTGGGGAGGGTAGGTAGTCAGGGAAGGAACAGACCCATAGTCTTGAGGGGTCCTCAGGACTGTGGAAATGTGGCTCCATATGGCTCATTTGGGTCACTCCCTGCCTCTCCTGCCTGAAAGCTGCTGTCAGAGACTCTGTATCAGGGTGTATTGTAAGAGGACATTAATGCCAACCTGCCTGGGCAAAGTGCCTTAACATCCAGATGCACGTGTCCTGAGCATGGGAGATTGGATGTGAAATAATCTATTTTGGTATGGTCTGGAGAGCTTCTGTCCAGCACAGGCAAACCCATAGTGCTGCCATGCTGTTTCTGCTGGCAACAATGTGCTGGGTAGTGCTGGCACCGCTTGCATCAGGTTATTTCTTTTTCTCCTGTCCTCTGTCGGCAGTGTGAAGATTTGATACTGTTCCCACTGGAGGCAGTGTGAAAAGTTCACAGGTTGGACTTCACACTGAAAGGGTTTTCAGTCACTGGGTGTGTGTTATTCTTAAATGAGATACACTTGTCCTCGTTACTCAGCCCTTTCTGAAAAGCAGATTACCTGTAATAGCAAGGCATTGGACCTTGTTTGCATAAAATCACACAATTAACTGCTCTTTAATGGAAATACACAAATTATTAAATAGTTGGGAAGTGATGCAAAGTTGGCCCAAGCCCAGCTGGTAGCATTCAAAAGAGTAAGCCCCAAGGAGATGGCTTACTCCTCCTTGCTATCCTAAATGGAAAAGTAACTTATGTGAATTAATAATAGAGTATTCAACCAGAAATATTTTTCTAACCAGAAAGCATCTGTGGCTTTGCAGCAAACATCTGTGATTAAAGTGAAAAATAAAAATTAAACAAACTTGTATAAAAATGGTGGACAGAAAAAAGTCACACAGAAAAAGAAAACTTTTGCCTTTTTCTTCCCTGCTGTGAGTGATTAAATGTTTAGTTTCCAAGCAATGTATTCAGTTCTTAATAAAATTTTAAAGTTCTTCCATATGTCTAAGTGAAAGTGACTTAGAGGAGAACTCACAGGAAAATTGCTGCCTTTTTTTTCCTGTTTACAGCAATCCCTTTTGACCTTTCTACTGAAACTCATTTATTTTGTCCATTTTGATATCAAATATTCAGTAAGTAAAACTGCATTGTGTTTTATACCTGTTCTCCTTAGCAATACATCCTGCTTGCCAGCACTTTTCTGTAGCTCAGCAAAAATCAATGATTTTCATGCACCATTGCTTGGGTGTGAAGTTTTGACATTGCTTCTCTAGCATGATCAGGTGCTAAATGAGGTGCTCCTGGTTAAGGAGCAGTGGGGATTTGGCCACCTGCTCTGGTTAGCCACACCCTCCGCATCACAACTTTGTTTTGTGGAGGTCATGGGCATACTCTGCCAACAGGTGACCATATATAATCCTCAGAAAAACAGATCCGAAGGAGAAATTGTAAATTCCAAACAAATATTTATGGCCTGACTACATTTCATAATGTTTTAGTGGATTGAGTCCCTCCCACCTTAAGTCTAGTGAAACAGTATCGGTGGAAGATGTAGACAATGCTGAGGCCATGTTTAATTGGATACTGTGCAAACATAGCAAAAGACCATCCCTTCCTGAAAGATGTGAATAAAGGCTTTCCTTGGCTTTCATTCAGTGAAGTCTGAGAGCAAATACTTTTAGCAAGTTTGTTTCCTTGAGCTCAGGTACAAACAACAGTGCGGTTAGAGAAGGGCCTCAACACTCGGAAATGTTTACCTTGCACAGTGACCACTTTTAACCAGGCTTTCCAAGGAAGGAGGCCACGGTTCCCTTCACTTGAAGCTTTTGCTCTGTCTTCCCACCTACCTAGAACTGTGCAAAAATCATCAGGTTGATGATTTTTGATATTAGCCTTAAATCTAGTACAGGTTCCCTGAGATCTGTGAGCTTTTTGAAAGATTTGAATTGGCTTTTGACTAATGCTTGTCATAGCTCTGGTTTTGGGGTACAGACGAAATTATTCCAAACTTCTGGTAGTGTTTTCATTTTTATGTTTGCTTGACTTCTCTAAAACTCAAGAGAAAAGTTCTCCTTTAGGTTTCCTATTGTCTCAGTTTCCAGGAACTTCTCTCTTTTTTTTTGGTTGTGAGCAGGAAGTATTTGATTTGTGTGGCTTCCCTACGAAACAACACTAGATTTAATTCTACATTGATGTGACAAAGCAAGAGAATAGGTTGGTTTGTTTCATCAGAAAAAAAGAAGAGCAATACAAATTTCTTTACTAGATGTAAAATTGTGGGTATAAGAAAATCTGAACTACGAGTACTAGCTAGCAAACATCTCATTTATATTCCTTTCTTTAGGAAAGGAGTAAATGCTCCCTCTCATTCAATGGCCACCTTTCTGGTCACAGAGTAATAGTGTGCATTTTACCTTCCACCCTACAAAGACACTCTGTGTAATTAACATTCAACAAATTTAACTCCTGAGCTACTAAGAGCTGGTTTACCATGACACACCCAATTTGTACAAATATTTCTTAGAAGAGACTGGCCATGGCAGGCTTTCTTGGTGTTTCAGGTGCAATGTTCCTCCTTGGTGAAAGCCTGTGGTTGGCTGTTTTTTGGGAGCTGGTGTGTTCCTCACTCCCCTGAGATTTAAATGTAGTTTAGCAAATAAGCCCCTTATCTATAAGAGTTTCTAAATAGATTTTTGTAAGTAATATAAGTTCAGAGGTCAGTTATAGTAAATTCAGAAGAGTTCTTTGAAGTGTAGTGGCTTATTGCTACGCTCCCACCAGCACAGCTGTGAGCGACTCTGTCAGGAGGCTGGTACAATCAGTTTGATAAAAAGATACTTGATGTCTCAGGCTGATCTAGGCTGATCATACTTGGATCTTGGCCCTCCTCAGCTTAAGACCTACTATGTTTCAAGGTGGGCATTCTGAAAGTGAATGACAATTTTTTGAAGTGCCACTGGTAAACTTGTTTGGACTCAAATTTATTTTAAATACTGGTAATGACAAAACTATTTTTTTTCCCCTGAAGAAAGTTAAGAGCTTATTGAAGCAGTTGCTTCAGGTATAATTATTTTCTACTTCTTTTAGTGTCTCCCAGCATTATGTGTGAAGAAGAAAAAGAGATGTGTTTTATAGAATAAACTGCGAAAAAATTACATTGTCTGCAATCACCACCCAATCACTGTAGGAGCAAAACAATAAACATTGCCTGCTGCTTTTGTGCAGTGGGAATCCTTAGGGAATGGAAATCTTACAATGCATTAGAGATCTTTTAGTAAATTTAGATTCTGTAGCTCTATAGAATGTAGTCTTTAACTGAATTCCTATAAAGAGATTAAAATGCTGAGTATTTAAAACATTGTCTGAAAACAATTACAGTTTAAAGAAAAATCATGATGAGAAAAAGATCTTTGTGGTGAAAATGCTAATGCTCTACACTGGAAAACTCCTTCAGCACTAGTAAAAAAAAATGAACTCCTGCAATATTGCCAGCAATTGTAAGTGAAACCTTATCATTCCATGTGAAAACTGATATGCTTTAATGCAATTTAAATTCTTGATTTAAATAAACTGATTTTAACTGTCTTTCCTCTAAGTCCGTATTTTGTAATTTTTTTTCTCCTTTTATGGAGCACTGTTGTATTCCCCATCTGCTTTTCATTTGCTTTTGCAAGATTTTATTTTTAAATGTACCAAATTCTAGGTACATTCTAAGTACAATTCTAAGTACAGTGAGGAAGCCGAATCCATTAAAATACACTTTGATTTGAGTGACTGAAACAATGTGCAATTCATGGTATAAGTAAAGTCAGAAGAGTTCTAAATCCCTTCATTTCAGACATCAAAGACATATTAACTCCCCCTTTGCCCCACATACTCCAACACAACCCTTTCAATAACTAAGAAATCTTCAAAAATATTACTTCTTAAATAGAGTTGGCTTAAAAATTGTTTTGTTTGGATTTCCACTGAGCCAACTGTGTTTCTGATTGTAAAAACAATACTACTCTACAACAGGTGGAACAAATGAGAACAGATATTTTCAGGATAAATCTCTTAGGGTATTTTGAAAGGTGCAAAAGAAATAGAGTGCAAAATATGTCTTATAAACAATTTCTCTAGAAAGCACAATGTTACAAGTTTAAAGGAAGAACTTTTCCTACCTGCAGGTTTTGTGTGGATCAGGAAGTGTAGCTTTTTCTGATTACAATCTTCCATGGCTTAGCTTGGCTTCTGCATTTGAATGTTAAATATGTAAGAATGCCTTGTTTAGCTTGGGAGTTTGCATGACCTCTTAATGAGACACTGTAGTTAGTGTCATTGGGTATTAAGGCATCATGTGACTGTAGATGAAAATAAAATCCTTCAAAGTTTGCATTTAATACTTCCTAGAATCTGTAACCCTTTACCTGCAGGCTGAATAAAAGCCTGATAGAGCTCACCATTTTAGTGTCAGGGTTATAAAAAAGAAGTAGAAGAACACGTGCCAAATAATTCCTTTCCTTGGAGGCAGTCACAACTACCACAACAAAGTCCGAGCCCGTCAGTGTATTCATGCTACCATTTGCATATTCTTAAAGTTAAATCTCCCCATATCACAAACAGTGCTGGAGGGATTTGGCAGCAAGTTCCTCTCTTACATGTTGGCTGGCAGTGTTTATTCCCCGCTATTTTGGGTGATTCTCTACGGAGAAACTCAGCTCTAAGGTATATTTGCAGGCATCACGTCACATTTACCTGTGAAAGCTGCTGACTTTCCTGGAATCATTTTGATTTGAGTGTGGTGCTTCCAAAAGTGATACAGAAGGTGTTCTACTGCCACAGCCCAGTTAAGAGAGTGTCCCCTGTGCAGGAGGAGAGTTTTAACTTAAGCACGGAACTGGGTCAGGTGTGACCTTTAATATATATCAATGTACCTGGAATTTAAAAAATGCCTCCCGGAAAGAACAGGCTCTAAGATTGCGTCACCTGACTGCCTGTGTCACAGCCGGGGGGTGCCGAGCAGGGCTAACAGATCCTTCTTGATAGTACTTTGGAAATGTTCAGCTAAATCCCTTCTTTGTTGCCTTTTTTTTTTTTTTTGAGGTGTTAAGCCTCATGGAAGCAGTTGTATGAGATTTGGCTGCTATATTGAGTAGGTTTGCTGTTCTCACTCTAAATAATGCTGGATTTATGGTTGCCTCCCTGCTTTGCAGGGGTTGCATCCTTGCTTTCCCCAGAAGGATGGCATGCTTCCCCTCATATCTGCTCTGAGCTGGAACTGAGACTGTCAAACTCGTGTCAGCAGTGGGCTGGGGAAGGCAGGCAGGTCCCGTGCCTGGGAGCAGGGACTCAGATGCGCTGCCTGGCTCAGCCCCCTACTGCAGGAGCCAGCACACACGGGGAGTGAAACGTCGGATGCCAGCAAAGAAATTAATAAAAGCTGCTTTGGATATGGTTATTTTAAGTAGAGGGCTATGTCATAACGTAAAGACCAAGTATCGTTTACAGGCTGTGAGCTGCAAAGCTCTGCAACAGCTCTTTGGCAAATTTTAAATTTTTTTCTTCTGCAAACAATTAGTGTTAGCTGAAAATGGACTTCAAAAGCCAGGAAGTTTCTTAGTACAAAACTGTCACTAAACTCTCGAAAGGCTCTCTGGTCAGTAAGTGAAGAATTGTTATCCCCAAATTGTGAGAGGAGGTGAGGGAGGTAGGAGATGCAAACAGTTTGGGGCTACCTCTGCAGCATGGAGTCTGATGCTGCGTGTAGCCCTGTGCACAGCGTGTGTTTGTACCCTGCCAAGCCGGAGCTAACCCCCATGGGCCAGCTCGGCCGTATTTTGCCTGTGGTATTTTGCCATTGTGCTCGTGGCTGCTGGGCTAATGAGGTGGGCTAATAGGCTGAGAAATGTCCCAGTTGAAAAGCTGAGTTGTAAGCAAGGAGGCCACTGGAAGCAACTTCGGGGAGGCTGCCTCCCCTCTTCTCCTGATACTTGGCCTCCTTCTCAGAGCTTTTCCATGGGTACTGTATTTTTTGTTGTTCCTCAGACTGTTCATTCTCGTGATTTCTCAAACCCACATCCAGTATTTCTGCAATAATAAAGTTCTGCCCTAGCCCCTGCAATCCCAAGTGTGCTGTGCTCCTGAAAGCTAACGTTTTCTATGAGTATGTGCAAACTGCTGGGATCTTTTTGGGATGATTGCCCGACAGGTTTTCACAGATGTGTCCTGCAGGAAATGATCACTTGTCTCACCAATCCACAGTCCTCGTTCAAAAACACGGGTGTGACAACATTTTTTTCAAAGGAAAAGTATTTGAGACATTCAGCCTGCAGAAATACTCTTTTTCCTTTAATCTCATTCTTGTATCTATTTTGGCTGAAATTTTCTGGAGAATGTTCCTGCTGAGATATAAGGCTGCCTTGAAAAATTGCAGCCTAAAAGGTTAACTTTGTGCCTTCATATACTATTGTCAACATGATATTACAGTGGGACATGCTGGGCAATTTACTAACAGGCAATTGTATAACATAGACAAATGGCAGCAAACTACCCTGTTCTGTTTTCATCTGTGCTACACCATCTGGATTTTTGCAATTCTGTGTATTTCACTTTAAATATGCTGAATAGATCTATTTCAGTCTAGAAGCTTTCTCACATCCACTGAAATGCACATGGAATCAGACATTTATGGTAGAAAAGCAGGCAGATGATTTTATTTATACAGTATTGTGTGGTGAAAGCTCTGACAGTGGGAACATGTGAACAAAAATCCATTTTTGTATATTCACTGCTGAGGCTGGAGAGGAGATCAGTGAGCTGCCAAAAGGGCAGGTGCTGCAGGTGGAGAGTGTATCAAGGCTGGGAACATGTCAGGGGCTTTGCTGAGGATGGGGGCATCACTCACCCTGGTAAGCAAGAGCTGCATAGGCCTGGGATGATGGGACAGTGGAGGCAGGGAGAAGGGCTTGGTAGGGGCAGATTTTAAAGTCACTTTGGGAACCATCTGTGATTTTAAGAGCATGTTATGCTGGACTGGACATGTTGGAGGAACATTCCCTCACACTCTTCTGGTTATTGGCCTGGGTTTTCGAGTGAATTGAGCACTGCTTAGCTTGTCCTTGATAGTGAAAGGCCCTTTTTCACAGAGGGGTGGTGGTGCAAGCTTCCCCTTCTGGAGAAGCACATGATAAAATGCTTTGGGGAGGCTGGAAAGGCAAACCACAGGAGAAAATGTAGCTCACTACTCTCCCTGCACCCATGCGGTGACCCAGGAAGAGATATGAGCAATGTCCACAGCAGGGTACAAGAACTTGAAGGAGGTCATATTTGTAGCCTAAAGGCTTCATAGGGATTCTTAGTAACAAATCCTTGCTAATGAAACCCATCCAAAGGCCCTAGTCCATATTTGGATGATTACATAATCAATTTTATGGTTATATGAAAAATAATGTGCAAAAAAGTAAGATATCTTTGGTTTTATAATTAGGAGAAATAAAATTAGTCTGTCCTTTTGCAATATTAATAGTTATATTAAATCAGGTTTTTTTAATCTTTAATCAACAAAATAAAACAATGCAGATTGTTGTTAATAGCCTAATAGTAGTGCCCCAAAGGACTGACTTTATGATGTATCATACAGACACACATATAGTTTTTGACAAAGGGCAAACTCTCAGGATTTTAAGCTGAAACAGTACACTCTGGATATGAACACTATTTTAGCAATCAATATTTGCTTTAAATTCTCTTTACAAGATGACTAAAACTTCTGTTTCCACAGGTAGAGGGCTTGAGTCTGCAGCATGGAGAAATCAGGGCTGGGGAGCCACTGAAACCTGAATGCCCCCTGAATGCAGAGTTTTCCAGGCTACATGTTAACTCACATTCTGATGTTATCTGATAATAATGTGAAAAAAAGTCAAATGGCCACAGGCACTTTGAAATGAAGGCACGGGCCGTGCATTCCCCAGCTGTGGTGCAAAGGAAATGACTGATAAAAATATTTTTTCTAGCTGACCTCCGGCTTACCTTTGTCTGCCAAAGAATTTCCGGCTAATTCCGCTTTAAAGCTTTCTTGCAGCTACGGCCTATTCCTAGAATCTTCTGTGTCAGAAAACATGGACCCCGTCTGAGCCTGTTTATTGACGCACTTTATCTAAAAAAAAAAAAGAAAGCTTTGTACTAAATATGAAAATAGTGCTCCTTAACAGAAAATAAATTGCTCTATTCCTATGTAGGGCTAGAATAGCACTTAGTGTTTGGATGGCTCATTATTGGAGAAACTACTTAGTCTCCATACCTGTGGGTAGATATACTTGGGGACTGATTTGTGAGGGGCTATGGAGCACTCACTCTTGTAGTAGGAAGTATTTCGACATTGAGCAGCCTAATGCCATTCAGTAGCCTGTGCCTGCCTTTTAGGCTCAGCGTGAGGAATCTGACCCCTGAGAAATGGATTCAGAAAGCTGGAAAGCTGAATGAGATAGGTTAGGCACATGATGTAATTCTTGGCGATGTCTGATGAGGGACTAAGAGTTGGACTCGATGGTCCCTTGTGGGTCCCTTTGAACTCAGCATATTCTGTGGTTCCATTATTATTCTATACTTCATTGCCCCCCAAAGTTAGCCACTCTCTTGGCAGATACGAGATGTATTTTACTCTTCCAAGATAATGAAAGCACTAACTTTCCAATTTTAATGGCCAGTCTTCGTGAACGAAGATTTGGGGAAAGGTCTTTTTACCTTTCCAGCCTGCGCAATGGATTTTTTAGGTGAGACACAGCCTGCGCTGAACTGAGCCCACCCTTTAATCCTAAGGTTCATCTGCCGGGGCCAAGCAAGCTTGGACAATGGCAGTGAAGTCCTCAGGACGTAGGTTTGTTTAGAGTGACCTTCTCATAGATCGATGGCCTTACAGGGCTAATGGGCTCCATCTGCCCGGGGGACTGGCTGGGATTCGAACCTGGGTCGCAGAGGTGAGAGTCCTGCATGCTAACCACTAGGCCACCAGGGGTCCCCTAACTTTCCAATATTACACAGGTTATGCACAAGGAGTTCAAGGCTGAAATGTGTGAGTTATGCACTGCGTTTGAAAGAAGGTGGAAGTTGTTTACCTTCAGGACAGGATCCTGGGAGCCATGGTTCCCACAGGTCCATAGCTCCACAGGTCCGAAGAGAAGTGGATTTCAGGTGCTCCTCTCTCTTCTGTGCTTTGTCCTGGGTAGTTTACACAAGCCTTCATGTCTGCTGACTTGCATACCAGCAGTATGCAATCTAGTCATAAACACCACCTAAGTATGGTATTTTTTTGGCAAATCTCATTGGGTTTTTTGAATGCTTGATTTAGTCAAGTGACAGGGGAAAATACTGAAATTTTTCCTTATGAATATACTCAGAAATTATTTAAATACAGGCCAAAGGGAGCTGCAAAGGCCTTGTGTCTCTCTGCCAGAGTGAAATTTCCCTGAAATTAAGGGACATGTACAAGTCTGCTTCCATA